CGCAGCCGCAAACGCTGATGGCTGGTTTGTAGGCGTATCTATCAACGACTTCCTCAAAATTACTTGCAACAAACAACTTAGAATCAAATAAATAACGCAATTCGTCGAATAACAATAGCATCACAAATCACAAACAACAACAATGCATAAAGCATATTGCAATAATATGAAATAATTATAGCTTTAGGCATAAGTTGAGGTCACTTGCATGCTAACCGTTACCTAAATAATGCAATCACAAGATAATTCACTAATTCATTGATTAATATTAACTGACCGCTCCACAGCGACAAAGGCAAGGCTTTGCAGAGGCATGATCAATCAACTACTTCTCTGTGGCAGCTAAACGACGGCGCGTAGTAACTGTCAACCGCTAAATGAAATTTAAAAAATAATTTACTGTTAAGTAGCAGAGTAGTGTTGAATGCATCAGAGTATTACATTTTAGTTTCTGGATAATAAAATTAGTTAAGTGTGCCGATTCAGTCTGCATGCCACGTCCTTCCTTCTGTCTGCTGCCGATATAGTATATTTACATATGTATATATGTACATATAGACATACCTACATTTAAGCTAATTCATTATGTCACTTTACATTGCGGGAGTAGTAATGTGATGCTTTTCCCGTTTTTGCGCCACCACCAGCGGCGACGGCGCTTTGAAAGAAGCTTGTAAAGGCGGTGTGGTAAACAAATATCAGCCTTCCATTGTTGTTTTTGGCAAATTATTATAACAAGCATTGCAATTAGTTACAAGACAACAATAACAACAACGAAACGCATGCAAAGTAACCACTTTCCCAATCACCATCGGTAAATAGGGCAAACTCTAGACTGGTGGGTATATCAATTACTCAGCTAAGACCACGGGGTAGATATACTTATGCGTAGTGTATATGTGTAGGGGAATATGTATATACGTATGTACATATATGGATGCATGTGCAACCAATTGTCATTTATTAATGCTTATTGCATTAATATGATACGTTTGAAATTTGCTAAAACGTAGACGGACAGATGCAAATACATATTTACTTGCGTACATATGTAGCTTTTTTTTTTGATAATAAAAGATTTCAAAAAGCGAAATACCGCGATGTAAGNTAGACATACCTACATTTAAGCTAATTCATTATGTCACTTTACATTGCGGGAGTAGTAATGTGATGCTTTTCCCGTTTTTGCGCCACCACCAGCGGCGACGGCGCTTTGAAAGAAGCTTGTAAAGGCGGTGTGGTAAACAAATATCAGCCTTCCATTGTTGTTTTTGGCAAATTATTATAACAAGCATTGCAATTAGTTACAAGACAACAATAACAACAACGAAACGCATGCAAAGTAACCACTTTCCCAATCACCATCGGTAAATAGGGCAAACTCTAGACTGGTGGGTATATCAATTACTCAGGTTAGACCACGGTAGAAATACTTATGCGTGGTGTATATGTGCAGGGGAATATGTATATACGTATGTACATATATGGATGCATGTGCAACCAATTGTCATTTGTTAATGCTTATTGCATTAATATGATACGTTTGAAATTTGCTAAAACGTAGACGGACAGATGCAAATACATATTTACTTGCGAACATATGTAGCTTTTTTTTTGATAATAAAAGATTTCAAAAAGCGAAATACCGCGATGTTAGCATTTGGAATCTTAATTTACATTTTTGACCGACTTCACAAAAAGGAGAAGGTTATAAATTCATCGGAATACTTTTTTTTATGCATGTTACCGCATAACTTTGGACCACGTTAACCGATTTCTATAATTATTTTTTAAAGCAAAGGTGTTACCTCACAGGTGGTCCCATTTTAATTTGTTTCAAATCTGATCATNAAAGATAATCTTAAATTTTTATATGAGAATTGAAGTCGGTTTTGTTTTTTCGATTCGAAAACGAACTAGCTCAAAAAACTTTTGAAGAACGCCCTACTTCACAATTTTATTGAAAAACACCTGTCTGAGAATTTGGTTAAGAACGCAATATCTCATAGTTTTTAAATCGAATTCTGAGATAGGGCANAATTCTTCTTATAAAGAATTAGGAAGTAACTTTAAATTACAAAAAAAAAACATCTGATCATGAAGAAATTAAAGAAATTCTTAAATTTTTATATGAGAATTGAAGTCGGTTTTGTTTTTTCGATTCGAAAACGAACTAGCTCAAAAAACTTTTCAAGAACGCCCTACTTCACAACTTTATTGAAAAACACCTATCTGAGAATTTGGTTAAAGAACGCCCTATCTCAGCGTTTTTAAATCGAATTCTGAGATAGGGCGTTTTTCAGCCAAGTTCTGAAATAGGAAGTTTTTGAAAAAGTTTCCGAAATGGTTGCCGAGATATGTCGATCTTTCACTCAGGTATCAATATGTACATACATATATATATATTATGTGATTCTCTTATACTNTTTTTCAGCCAAGTTCTGAAATAGGAAGTTTTTGAAAAAGTTTCCGAAATGGTTGCCGAGATATGTCGATCTTTCACTCAGGTATCAATATGTACATACATATATATATATTATGTGATTCTCTTATACTCGAAAAATTGCGAAATGGAAATTTATAATTTTAGTAGTTCATTAAAAATTTCGAGGTTTTCGAGAAATGTCTCTGAATTTTTTCTTCCATGTGATTGCTGTTATGGTTCTCTCTGGGAGAGAATCGCAACAACAACCACATGGAAAAAAGGTGCTGAACTAAAACGATGAATTCGGCAGTTCAAAAACGCTATCTTTATTTTTTATGCTTGAACTTAAGAAAAAAAACGGAAAGTTGCAACTCGAAATCTTATTCATACAAATCTTTACAGCTCAAACTTTTGAGATTTTGGAGATTTTTTTCGAACCTTTCGCCCGATTTCTTCAAATAAATTTAAGTATTGGACCATTAACACGGGGTTTCAAAATATCTTGACTCCTGCACCACCTATCGTGTAATTTTTTATTTAGTTATTCATTTTTATGTAGGTAATGTACATTCCAAATATGAACCAAATCGGTCCATAAATAGGGGCTTTTGCAATATTTCGACATCCGCGCCATCTACCGGATTAATTCATCTTTCATAATTGCCATGGGGTTCTGAGCTAAGTTTCTAGTCTCTAGCTCATCGGTTAGTTGGTTAAAATTGTTGCCTAAACTTCCAAGCGAGCAATATTCTTGACCCAGTAACCCTAGNAGGGGCTTTTGCAATATTTCGACATCCGCGCCATCTACCGGATTAATTCATTTTTCATAATTGCCATGGGGTTCTGAGCTAAGTTTCTAGTCTCTAGCTCATCAGTTAGTTGGTTAAAATTGTTGCCTAAACTTCCAAGCGAGCAATATTCTTGACCCAGTAACCCTAGCCCAAGGTGGCGCATGCGCCCATTCAGAGTGTGTTTTATTAAAATTGACCCTTTGATTCTATTGTTTAGCCACAATAACGCACAAACTACGTTTTTTATTTTTATTGCAAATGCCTTTAATGAGTAATAAGAGCGCAGTGACGATTGTTTCAAATTACGACTTCCAAGGGCCTCAAACTACAAAGCGTTGGCGGGGCATTTTCAACAACCATGTTTCGTGTTCCGTCATACCCAGCCAAAGAGTAGCTGCTTTTGCCATTAGTTATTTATGCTGTGCTTGATTTTGTTGTTGTTGCTTGAATGCTGTGCCACCGAGTTACGCAAAAGCGCGGCGTTGCAAGCTGCTTGCCGCCAATTCGAATATTTTCGTATAAATAATCGTAACATTTAAAGTCAAAGCATCAAAACATTAGCAGCAACAGTTAGTTCAACATCAGCGTTAGTGCAGTAAACCTAATTTCAAGCAAAATGAAATATCTGGTAAGTGAAGAGTACACTGGCGCTTGCCGCCACATCGCCAGGATATTAATTTTTAATCTTCGCTTCTGCTGCAGCAAGTTTTCCTCATTGTCATCATCTGCGTGGCCGCATGCTTGGCAGCCATTTCGGAACCGGAAGACGTTGCTGCCTTGGAGGAGAAGAAGACTGAGAAACGTGGCGTGTTCGGCTTCGGCTATGGGCATGGGTATGGACACGGCTACGGTCATGGCTATTATGGCGGCTATGGCTATGGTGGTGGCTACGGTGGTGGTTATGGGGGAGGTTATGGTCATTTCGGTGGTGGCTATCCACCCTACGGCGGAGGCTACTCCTCATTCCATGGCGGTCCATCCTACGGTGGACATGGCTACTACCCTCATGGCGGTTACTATGGCGGCTACCATTAACTGGAAGTAATGAATACACTACTTTGTATGTACAATAACTAAGTACATTTCTAAAATACACTAATGCCATGAAGTGTTCGAATGGAACTGTTCTTTTTGTTTTTGTCGAATGAGACGTTTTCAGCAGCAAATAAAAGTTTTTATTGAAAAAAATTTGGTCCAAGCACGTTTCATTTGCAGTATTTTAGAGATTCATTTTAAGAATGTAATTTATAAAAAAAAATTAGATTAAAAAATATAGTTCTATAATGGATACTAGTACAATGGCACTTTCTTCCCCTCCACGCTCATTGTGCTTCTTGTGGCGAGTAACTACATATAACACGATAGTTTCGATTAGTATCTTCTTAATACATACTATATATGTATTTCTTCATATTCATTTTTACTTACATACATATAAATTTATAGCTTACAAATAAATTTAAAAGCGCATTGTTAACACACTTAGCATAATTTACCCTCTTTATAACAAAATCGAAAACGCAGCTTTTTTAAACTAATTACTTGTAATTACCACACCGTCTTCCCACTCAGTCCGTATTCAACAACTTCCGTTTTCTTTCCAACTTCAACTCACGTTTCAACGCCTTTTGTTCCAGCTCCTCAGCATGCTCCGCAAAGAGCGCATGCAATGCAGGATACATGAGATGAAAGTGCTCCAAATCACCCAGCGTCACTTGCATATTATCGAATGCTATCGCTACATTACGCATTTCATCGTCTTTCGCTTCACCTCCACCCACCAACTGCTGCATGCGTGGCAGCTTAGCGTAACGCTGAGAGAAGTGTGTGAGTATGATGTGTTGCGCCTGCATCTCACGGCCCTGTGCGATCGCTTGCGATATTGTGCTGTGCATTTTATGTTTAGCCTCATCCATCAAATCATCCTCCATGGTCGCTTCGTGTATCAGCACCGTGGATTTGCGGCCGAGCTCAACTAGATCCCGACATGGCATTGAGTCGCCACTGTAGGTGATCTTCACAGGCTCATTTCTGCCTGCTGTTGCTGGCAGCGTGAGACTAACGCCATAGGAATGTGGACAGTGACGCACCAAGCAAGTGGCCACCGCATCAATGCTTAAGTCGGCACGCGTCTCGCGCAAATCCAAGGGCTTCTCCAACATTTCTGCATTGCCGATGAGTGTGTAGGCATCCGCGATGCTGTCAATGCGCTCATTGTAGAAATTTAGCCACGGTTGTATTTGTACTGGTGCAAAGAGTAACACTTTCTGCTCAGCCAGTGGCACATTTACTTGCTGGAGCAATATTTGACGCTCATTCAACAACCCAATAAGGCCGATGTGATGGTCTGCATGGAGATGCGAGATGTAGATTGCTTTGAGATTGCGTACAACTTCTTCAGCACGCTGTTTGCCATAGAAGCGCACAATTTGGCCGAGTGTACCTTCGCCGCAGTCGAGTAACATGTAGGAGTTCTCGGTGGGCTGTATCATTATAGCGCTCACGTTGCGTGTTTTGTTTGGTATGCAGGAGCCTGTGCCGAGGAAGGTTATTTTGGGGTACTGAGATGTGCAATTAGGCGCTGGAACAGTTTGCAGTTCGGTTTTTAGCTTGCTCAGGCATGCGGGGAAGTCGGCCAATGCCTGTGTCTCGTTAATATATTCGTTGGGGTTCAGCTGCGCCTCGGTACTTCGGTCCAGGCCTAAAAGGGAATTTTTTTTTTTTAATTTGAAAGAAAAAAGGCTTTCAACATTTACCTTTACGCGGTCGCAAGTGGAAGTTTGTGAGGGAGTTTATGGTTGCTTGCGTTTCTGTCAAGGCATCATCCGCATTCGCACATTCTCCAGCGCTGTTCTCTTCATTCGCCGATTCACTCAACTTTGTTTTCTTTAATTTAGTGCTGATATTCATGCTGTTGCAAGACTCCAGCGCCTCTGCAAGCAGTGGAAATGTGCGAGCATTTAATTGGTTCAATTGGTATTGTATGCGATGCGCTGCTATGTAGCCGGAGAAAGTGTTGCGCGGCGAATTGAGATACATATGTTGGGTGCGTTGTGTAAAGTTTTCCATAAAAGCGCGATAACAGTTATTTTCCAGCATATGAGCTGGTGTAAAGTGCACAACCAGCGCCACCTCATTTTCGGTATCCTGTTGCAGTTTTTGAAAGACTCCCGCCTCTGCTTGTAGTGCAGCCAAATACTCTTCTGACGGTACGTCCAAAAATACAAACGAAAGCGCCGTTTCGCTGGGTTCGCTAACATCTTTTGAATATACAACGGTGCCATCGGGTAGGGTAACGTCAATACCGTTCTTAAGTTGACCTAGCAGCGGACCAGGTGTCACGCCACGCTCAACGCATTTAACTAAATTAAGTGCACCTGGACGTGGTTTAAGTCTGCAAATGTACGCAACCACCATTTGGTTGTGCGCATCTATTGAATCGGGTGCTGCTGTTTGCTGCTTATACAGCGGCACATACTTGACGCTCATGACGGTGTCTTCAAAATCCGACTGCTCTGTGCAATCCCGTGTGTTTACCTAAATAAGTGGCTATTTTATTTAAAAAATTTACGTCTACTTTTATCTTACCTTCAGCGTCTTGAGCACTACGAAACGCTTCATACTGTGCAGCACGCTATCTAAATGCGGTGGTCCATGCAAAGCCATTTCCTTAACGCCCGCATCTTGTACCGTTAATGCTAGACCAGGAAATCCACCTACCATGGGCCATGTGTTACGTGTAACGAAAATATGTTCTAGCCGCGCCAGCTTTGTTTTATGCTCATGTGCTAAACGCTGTGTGCCCTCCCCACAATTAAACAAATAGCGGGCCTGATCGGTGAATAGGTAGATTGCGCTTGGTGAGCCATTTGCACCGGCGCCTAACACTTGCAAATTTACGATGCCCGGTATATAAGGTGTAGATTTTTTCTTTGCCGCTTGAAGCTGTCTTTCGCGTCGCAGTTGTGGTGGCGCTGGTTTAGCCGGCCGCGATTCCACACCAACTTGCGAGAGTACGGTATTTAGATTGACTTTTCGATTTCTAGATGCGGGCAGTTGGACGAGCTGACCTTGTGCGGTATCGGTTTGCTGCTGTTCAGCTTGTTCCTCCAAGTTTGAACTTTGAGAACGTGCTATTGGAGATTCCATCGCAAGTAGTCTGCTTACCTGCGAGTATTGAAATGATTTGACACGTGCAACGCTACGTCTTAACGCGAAGTTGAGCAACATTCGCGCTTACCTGAAAGCGGGTATTGTTAGTTATGATTTTCATAAAATTTTTTATGAAATACCACCGGCAGTACATAGTTTTAACTTACTCGGCTCCAGTTGGAGATTTTGGCAAAGAACACGATGGCAACGAACGGAGGCGGTAATTTGACATAACTTCACAGCTGATCTGATTTGTTGATATTTCGCACCAGAGTTGCCAACACCTTACTTAAGTAATTAGTATGGTATTTTTTTATACAAAAAATCCTGGAACATTCCAAATTATTTACTTACTACATCCTAATACATTATTCGATGCATCCAAAAAATTCTTGTTTTGCTTATTTGAAAATTTTCCATTAATTGAATGTAGACCCAAAATGCGCCAGATAACCATAACGTATTTAATCGGCCGTCTTCACGTGCTGGAAAATCTCGCGGTTTACGTTATCTAGCATGTATTCAACTATAATTTTTTGTTGACGGTATTTTCTCATTTTGTAGAATTCTTCCAAGGCGTATTCAATAAGGTGGTATCGGTACGCCAACAACAAAATGTACATGTATTTTGTTTTTGCTTTCGCGGCGAAGACTGTCAAAAATTTCATAGAAAATAAAGACGCCTTGAATTCTTCAGAGAAGAAACATTGTTTGTTTTGGTGAAAAATACAAATTTCGCCTGAAAGAAGTGTGCTGCCAAGTGCCCAGTCAATAAAACTCATCTCGCTTGCGACAGAAACAACCAGAACGCAAGCTAGATTTGCAAGCATGTGAAGAAAGCCGGTAATGTTCTCTGAATGAGCTGCGTCGAAACGGTTTGTTAAATTTTTGTTTCCTTTTATCTACTTTTGTCCGAAAAAAAATCAACCCTGGCTGTCAGAAAGGTGATGAAAAGGACACAAAGATAAAAGCTTGGAACTGGAACAAAAAGGAAGTGTGTTGGGAGAAAAATTTTTCTTCGATATTGAGCTAAAATTCATCACAAAATGTCATCGCGAAGGTAATTATAATATAATAAATTTAAGTGCCACAAGATTATGCCAATTGCTATAACGTAGGCGTTTGTATTAAAGACACGCTTGAAATGTGATCAGAAAAGTGTAATTCGCAAATTGGCATTGTTCTCGTTTGTATGCTGGTGTGCGGCCGAAGTTAAAGCTGCTGCAGCTGGCTGACTGGCTGTCTGCCTGCCTGATTGTCTAGCACTATGTGTTGCTTTGCTGCTGAGGCCTTTTGTAGCTGTTGCTGACTGCCTTTCGGTCTGACTCGCTGGTGCGATCCACTGTTGCTGAGTGCATGCTGCCAAGCGTTTACGCGTGTACTTAATATGGGTGTATTGGTATGTACAATCAGCGGGCGTGTGTTGGGTGCATGAGTGTGTATACACGCTTCACAATGCTACTGTCGTCATTGCCACCACCCGCACCCACCCAAGCGCGATTAGAACGCCAGCCCTATCGTCTGCCCCTCGAATTGCCGACAACAATAAGCATACAAAAACTAGCAGCGATAGCCAAATCATAAATGAAGTGTGAATAATCAAAGTATTATAGAGCGTCTGCCAGCTGTGTGACATGGCCTTCCTCACGTTTTCGCATGCAATCGGTAAAATCTGATTATATCGCTTAACAAACAAAGATTACACCTAGCAGTACAATACTCACGCCACCCATTCACCCTACACCCACGGTTAATTGCAGCTGCACACGACCGGCTTTGTGCTCGTGTCCTGTGCGCACAGCTGACGAGTTGAAAATCAGTGTGCTACACTCATATTCATATACAAACCAGAGAGCATACACACAAAAGGAAAAAAGTCCCAAGCACGCGTGTATTCCGCTGTAGGATTTAGTACACCAGCCACAAAATTGCGATGGAAAATAGTGATTCCTTCTGCGTTTCGCAAACAGAGAAACGATTTGAACTGCTGCGCAGAAAAAAGTCAAAATATTTGTTAATTTATTCGTAGCCCGATAACATTACTAATGTACATATTAAACTTTTCTTCCCCCTACCCACAGATGGTTTCACCCAACAATAAGTGGAATAGAAGCTGAGAAATTGCTGCGTGAGAAAGGCTTTGATGGATCATTTCTGGCTCGCCTCTCATCCTCGAATCCAGGAGCTTTCACGTTATCGGTGCGTCGCGGCCAGGAGGTAACGCATATAAAAATACAAAATAATGGCGACTTTTTCGATTTGTATGGTGGTAAGCACTAGTCCCGTTGACATACAATAACCTTGGTAATTTGTTTGGCTACAAATGTTCCTCTTTACCCTTTTGGCAGGTGAAAAATTTGCTACGCTTCCTGAACTGGTACAATATTACATGGAAAATGGTGAACTGAAGGAGAAAAATGGACAAGTTATAGAATTGAAGCAGCCATTGATCTGTGCTGAGCCCACTACAGAAAGGTAGGTGAAGATAAAGAAATAAATTCATTTTTAGGCAGATAAATTAAATAAAAAATATGTCTTAATCTGCTAATCAATGAAAAAACAGAATGAATGTCTTTGCAAAGGAACAAAAAATAACCCTTCTTATAAGTTCCCAACGTGACGAGTGTCAATGGCGTATGAGTAATCCAGAATGGATGTCGACAATGCATTCGATAATGCGTTGAAATATATGCACATACATATTAATTTAATTGCAAACGCTCAACTGTTCCAACAGTATCGAAATGCCTTTGATAAGTTCGAATATGCATACATACTAAAATACTCTTGTTGAGGTCATTCGTATATATGAATACATTAGTTATATATGCGCATATGTACATGCATAAATCGTTTTTACTTGGTTGAGCTGCTCGGAGTACATTCTTTAATATTTATATACATATATAAGTGAAATGCACTTTTATCTTAAGTGCATAAGTAGAAAGCATTGAATGGGAAAAAACGTCCGTATTGAAGAAGTATGGTGGTCGCTCATGTCTTCGTAGTGCCCTTGCGTTCTTTACCAATATTCCATTTTCATCCAGCATCTAATAAACTCTTTAAAGTCTGATTCAATCTTTTTTTGGGAAAGTCTTTATTTTCAGCACTTTTTTAATTCTTTTGCAGTTATTTTAAGCCTTTTGTCTGCTTATTTTCTCGACTAAAGCCCAAGGCGGAATTATACGCCATGACTAAAGCCGTAAAAAAAACTATCAAAATGCATAAACAATTTCCCAAATCATGTCTCCGAACTACACAAACCATTTAATGTTAAAAACAATGTTGAAAACCCTACACAAATGAATTTAAGTTTAAAAACTTCAAAAATCCAAATAAAAAATTTGTATAGCTTACATTTACAATTTTTGTTTGAGTCTCCAATTTCTCCGCTACTTTAAAAAAGTCTATAAGAGATATTTCCTTCCAATGGACTGATTTAAAACAAATTTTGCGTATTTCTTTTCTTTTCAATAACAGTTCTATAAAAAAATTAACTTGAAATCATTTGTGTTCAGTCCTTGAACTCTAAAAAAGATTTAAAAAAATGTATGGTCCAAAGACTAAACCACGCATCCAAAATGTGTAATAAACATACATGCGTATATTTTTATGCAAAATATTCGGAAAGTTATTAGAGCATCTACATAAATAATTTTTTAGTAACTTTCAAAACCACAAAAATAGCTAAAAGCTTCTAAAACATTTACAAAACGTAAATCTGAATGTCCGCTATGAATTTAACACGTTTCACACAAAGTCCCCAAACTCTTCACAAACTAATAATTTCAACATAGACAATAAAATAAACAAGTTTCACTTAAAGTCTACAAAGTCGACATTGCCACATATAGCGTTAAAGTGACGGAAAATTGAAGAATGCTGCAAAAATTGTTGCGATTGCTATACGTAGCTGCATTAGTGAATAGACACTGCAATACTGCAGCCAGGTTGCTTTCTTGATGAACTGAAAATTTTCTGAAATGCTGCAGAAATTCCGCAGCAAAAATTTTTGTGTTGATTTTGATTTGCCAATGATGCGCAACTGATTGTCAAAAATTTGTTCTTCAAAAACTTGATGGGGCAGAGTCGTCCAAATTTTCACGTAGAACGTGATGCTCTTCCATAAAAGTAACATTGCCGCAATATTTGCAGCTTGAATACACCCATTTTTCTCACAAAAATAATCAAATGGGTCCAATAGTTTACAGAATTTACAGCCAGCGTCAAAAATATGAATATCCTGACGTTTCTTTATATATATTTCTCATACCAAATTTTTCTAATTAAAAAAAAAATATAGTTCTTTGAACGGCAAAAACCAGCAGAATTTTTTCAATATCATATAGAACTCGGGGAAAATTCAAGAAATATCACAATTTTTATCAAAATTTTCAACTTTTCAATTCCATTTCATAGAAAAATTTTGGGTACGCAAGTTTTGCAGTCCATTAATTTTTTTTTGAGGATGTTGCGCATTTCCTTCCATATAAAAATAGATTTTGTTCATGCGTTATATGGAAGAAAATGCGAAACACCCTTGAAAAAAAAAAAAATGTTTGCATCTTATACTAAATTTAAGAGGCTACAAAACTGTATACTCAAAAATTTTCTAGGAAATCGAATTAAAAAGTTGAAAATTTTGATGAAAACGTGAATGGGAGAAAAATAATAAAAAAAAATATTCCAACGAACTGAGGTTATCCTTTTTTGGAAGTCGGTTAAAAATATAAAAGAATTGTCGTGGAAAATGTATATAAATAACGAAAATCATGAAAACATCAGGGTTTCATATTTTCGACGCTGACTGTATCATACATAAATAAAAATCATTACTTTGTTCATTTGCAAATACACACTACACATACAATCGTACATATTCATTACTTTACTACACTGTATCACCGCTATATTTTTAATTTCCTTTTTACCATGTTATATCGGCCGATTTTTATTATTTGAATTTGCATACCTTTAGGCACCATTTTTATTATTTTATTAGTTTATTGAAGGCACTCGTTATGCAAACGCACCAGAACGCACACAAAGTCGGTGGAAAATTTTATTTTTTATGATTATTTATATATATTCTTTGTTTTTATTATTGTATGTACGATGACATTTGTTGCTAAAAATTAGATTTGCGCTCACAAGCTCAAGCCTTATCAATTCGCCCTGAAATATACTAGCCAGAAATGCGATAGCTTTGTAAAAAAGAGAATCATTTTGAAATATGAATATTTTTACTCTCTTGAAAATAATTT